AGATGGAATCAACACTGAAACATTCAGGAGGCTGAAAGTGTTTCTGTTTCTATTAAACATATATGTCTCGGATTATTTTCAGAAGCTTGATGATTAAATCAGAGAATGGAGTCAGAACTAATATGGTTTGTCTATAAGAGCACTATTAAACACAATTATACATTTCACGTGAGAATTAAAGCTTTTAGAGCTGTATGTAATTAATAGATAATAAAGGTTTTCCAAAGTGACCAGATTAAAACATCTCCAGCTAATGTTGAAGGTGAATTCTAAATGTGCTGTAAGAAAGAAGCTTACATGTATTTAAAATGGACATTTTGTTCTTTATAAATAAACCGTGATAGCGAATCGTAGAGAGACAAACATCGCCCCCTGGTGGAGTTTCTGCATACTGTGGTGTGGTTGAGTTTCCAGAAAGCGAAAAGTGACACTTTGTCTTCAGATAACAGATCGTGTTCTTTACTTCTGTGGAAACAAAACTGGTTAAACATAAACACATTTTAAAATGTGTTTATTTTAATTCTACAACTGTTTATAACCTGCATAGTTCACCTTTCTGCATAGCTGCATGTCTCATATTTCAGTATAGTTTTTCATATTTATATCCTGTTCATAGCCTGCACATACTTATAGTTATAGCATATTCATAACATACCTTCATACGTGTACATTATAACATAATAGACCCATTTCTGTAACATACTTACTTATCTATATTATTGCTAATATATATTTGTACTATATCTATATCATGGCTAAAGCACTTCTGGATGGATGCAAACTGCATTTTGTTGCCTTGTACTTTTGACATGTGCAATGAAAATAAAGTTCAATTCTATTCTATTCTATTCTAAAAAACTCCCCTATAAGGTAAAGCTAAAACATTTATTACAATTTTTACTAAAATATGACGACGTCAGTCTGTTCTTGTTAAACATGTGTTGTGCAGCTGTCTCCATGACATTTCATATCATTTATTATACTTGTTCCGGTTTCTTGAAGAGGTCAGCTTGGTACTCGTGTCCCCTGAGGTCTGTTATACTGTTGTGAATTTGAAGATACAAGACTCTTTGGGGGAGAGTAACAGAACAATATGAACCTGCATAAAAGTTCAAGCTAGGTCATGTGACATGATAGAAACTGCTTTGGATAGATGTGAGTGAACTCGAGCTGCTACAGTCCAACCTGATGAATCCACAGCAGGTTTTAGAGGAACACTTCCTGTTTCATGTTCATTACATCAGACAGATGGTTTTTAAACAGAACAGGGTGCACAGATCAGAACTTCAGGTTTTTGTATTCAAAGACAGATAATTTGCTGCCACACAGTTCTTTATGAAATGAATACAGGATAGATCGTGTGGCTACATTCTGGGGTTTGAAGGACATATGCAGCTGAATACCGTCTGCATAACAATGGATGTACTCAAAGCTATTCAGGATATGTGGGAGCATATATAGAACACTTTTGAAATAAAAGGCAGCTTGTTTAAAATATGTAGGGACACAGACGGAGGTCAAAGAATTATTAATTACCTTAAGAACAAACGGTCCAATGGTGTTGAAGATCCTTTTGAAGAGTGTGGTGGTTTCATTTTGTCAACCAAACTGATGACAGCGTTCAGAGAGCTTGGTCCAAAGCTCTTTAAGAGTGGTGGTCTGTTAAAGCGTGGAGTCAGAGAGAAAGGAGGAGGACTGATGTTTGCTCTGGAAATATTACACTTATTAATAATGAAAGAAAGTTTTCACACTCTTCATGTGAGTGACCAGTTAGAGCAGGAGGTGCAATGTTTCTGACTGTGTCAAATCAAACTTTCGAAAAGTTCCTTTTATATGTTTAATAAAATTTGTTTCATCTGCTAAAAAGACAAAATCTGTTAAATTGTTTCTATATCATTAACATAAACATGTAATAAAAATGACTTCATCACTGCCAGAGATGATTCAGTGATAATGAATAATCACTAAAAATGATCAAAGTCTTTGTGTTCAACTAAAACTAATCAACTGCTTTGATTACACTCTGGTTTGTTCCTGAATGGCTTCAGGGCCCTGTGGTGAGGTGGGGAGGGGGGGGGTCACTTGAACAATGGAGACCTGGACCTGTAGGTCCTGTTCTGTCTCATCCAATCAGCACGCAGCTCTCATGATATAAAGCAGCCTAAAGGGCAGAGTCCCACAGTTCACACTGAGAACATCACCCAGACCACGATGGATGGAAGCAGGACCACAGAGCACAGATCCAGCAGCCAGACTGCATCCAGTCCCAACAACAAGACTCCAACCTCCAGGACACCTCCTGTCCTCTCCTCATGTACCGTCAGCCAGACACGCTTCTACTTCTCTCCGATGGACATCTCTGACTGCAGGGACAAACTGCAGACGCTGAGCCGTGGTCAGGACTTCCAGGAGCTGGCTCGGGAGCTGGCTCTGCACTTTGACCAGCACGTGTGCGCTCACTGCCTGGCTGTGGACGGTCTGCAGGAGGCCAGCGATGTCGAGGAAACAGACCTGTGAAAGTCTTCCACCACGTCCACAGCAGCTCCACGTCAGCCGGATGTTCACCCCACAAACCAAACGGTCCTTTTAAAGACCAAACACCCACAACTAAGAGCTCTCCAACAACAGCACTCTCATTTCTATCACTGCTGTCTGGACACGTCTGATCTTCATGTTCCTTTATGCTTCAGATGTAATCAATACCAGTTATTGATTACATCATTAACTGGCTGTTTAACAAGTTTCATGCAGAAGAATAAATTTGAGCCATTCAGTAAAACAAAGATGATTGAATCAACCTTGTTGGATTCATATTCAGAGCGATCAGTCAGATCATCTTTACTTTGCATAACTCTAACCCTGCATTTTTGTTTTTTATTCATCTCAAACTAAACGATATTTCTACAAAGTTTGAGCAACAACAGAAAGCACCATAAAACATCCTCATCGCTCACACGAAGAGTCATTTTCCAGGCTGTTTAAACCTCCAAATAGGATCAGATATTAAATGTGTTCATTTAGTTCTGTTTTTAAAAAGATTCATTTGTTGTAGTTAATAAAAAATGTTTGAAAAGTCCTGATCAGCATTTTCTAAATGACAGAGTGAAACCAAGCTTCTCTCCACACTTCAGCTCAGAAAGGCAGCAGATGGGATAACTCTGCCTCCATCATTACGTTGCATTTATTGTATTTATTCTTATAAGCAGCAGCTCCAGCTGTGCTGTATGATCGATTGTGTTGTTTTATGTATATCTGTTTTACACTCAACAAAAATATAAACGCAACACCTTTGTTACTGCTCCCATTCCCCATGGGATGGACGTAGA